GGCAACATAACAGAGAGCTTTATTTACCAGAATGTTTCCATCTGTATCAAAATTGTCTATTTTCTATAGAAGGATATGCTTTCTTCAACATTACTTGGCAGCATTGGGCATCTAATAGCTAGCTTGATCAATAAAAATATTATGTTGTATCTGTGAAACATCACTATGTTAACACCTTTTTTATATGGGAATTAAATAAGCAGAGTTTATTCTTCTCATATACTATATAACTTCAAAGATACATTAATAGGGAAAGTTTATCGCTATACTTTATTTGTAAAGTGAAATTCTAGTGCTGTCTAATAGTTTCAGTAAAAATAGATTTAAAGGGACACTATAGGCACCAAAACACGTTTAGTCTATAGTCACTAACACAACCATTTGTATATATAGATCATGCCCTGCAGTCTCACTGCAACTCAATTCACAGCTCACTACATGTAATGTGTACTGCCTTACAAAACACTTCCTGTAAAGTGAGATCTAATGTTTATACTTCATTTATTGAACAGTCTGTTTAATTTAGAATTTCTAATCTCATGCACTGTTAATAGCTTTCTAGACCTTTCTAAAGTTCTATTTACAGAGCAGGAGATAAAAAAAAAATTCTAAAGTAAATAAGCAAACATCTGATTGTTGCATAAACAGAAACAAAACTGATTTAACTCCTAAACTGCAGAAAAGTGAGCAGTAAGACTGCTGGAACATGATCGATATACCAAAACTGTTATTTTGGTGACTATAGTATCCCTTTAAATATTGAGACTAGTTATACCTGGAATTAGACTTGTGTTCAGGTTGTCTACATATATTTCTGAATTATTGGCTTGAATGTGATGGTGGGAATATTGAGGACATATTGTAGAGGACGCGAGGAGATATATCTAGTGATAAGATATGAGACATACGAGGAGCTGCACAGAATCTAATCCCAGGGTAAACATCTTATCCTAGAGACAGGGGAGGCTTGTGGTTTGACATAGTAGGCTAGTTCACGTACACTATTCGGAGAGATGTAGATACATGTAGAAGTAGCGTTGAAGACTGGTTGGTAGTTCACATTACTGAATATGTAGTACATTGACATAAACGATCAAACTGTCCCGTGTGTAAGAAAATATTAGTTAAAGTAAATTTTACTTAGCTGATGTAACAGTGTTTAGTGTGTGACTGAATTTGCTGAATAAATTATGGAGGGGAGTTAAGATGTGTTACAATTGTACTCTAGGTGGTACTTGCTATCAATGGTGCGAATAAACTTTAGTTATTGTGTGGTTTAGGTAAATATTACTTGTTGTTTTTTGGATGAGTTAAGATTTAAGTGGTTTTGTGAGATCAAGGAGAGTTAATGATCATTAATGATTCCAGTGATAGCATCAGCATAGAGATCATACTGAAATCCAAATAATTGTAATGAGTCTGATGACAGACAGGAACTCGAAAGAAAGTTGCACAGTCCCTGTAAGTGAGTATTGTACTGTCCAACAAAAGATTAAACTAAGGGAAAGTAGAATGGGAAGAGGCAACTTTCACAACTCAGTTACGTCAACAGAACTCAAAATAGAAAAGGGCAGAATATTTAGAATCAATTTAGACCAAAGAACAATAGTCAAAAAAAAAAATCACAAAATGTGCTATGTAATTATAAGGCACCGATATATTCTGCAGCATTGCCTCGGGGGACCACAATTATTCTGACTAAACAAGATATTGTAAACCCTACTGGTTCCCCATCATCTTGAATATATAATGATGGGTTTTCCTTATATCTTTCTGTGTTCAGTCACCATTTGAGCACCCTGCATCATACCCTTGCTTACACAATGGGGTTATCCAAAAATAAAACAATAAAAAAAATGAATGCAACTGCTACCAAAAAAGAGCAACTTCTCAATATTGCTACATTGTTATTTTATCTGCAGATTTGAAATGTTACTATCTAATTCCTTTTGCTAGAACCCTTTGAAGAACTTTAACTCTCAGAGGGAAGAACTTTAATGTATGATTTATTTTCCCAGTTGTACACGAGGGGTAAATCAAAATGCATGTGGTTTCCTCAAACCCTTTTCTATGTTATCTTTCCAAGTGTGTTTGAAGGTCCATGTTTAGTCTTTGTTTTTATAGTGGGGGAGGCTAAAGAATGTTGGTATTCTTGCATGTGAAAAAAAATGTATCCATTTTTTCTAGAATTCTACAGTTTTACTACCAATAGGATAAACTCTTAATACAGAATCAAAACAATTCTCAGGGCATTATCAGTTATCGTTAATATCACATGGCATCGAGAAAGCTGATGGCAGTGGAAAAGTTTTGTCCAGTGAACAAACAATGATTATGAATAAAGTATACAATTTCATTTTTGTTTTAAATACAAAGTGAATATTAAACATACAAGATTAATCTATATCGCCTTATGTGTATGTGCAGTTGGTTGTCTTATAAGAACACTACAGACCCCTAAAGTACTTTGCTGAAAGGCTTTGTGTGTAAAGAGAGTATCCCTTTTTTCATTTTGCCAATAGAAATTTACACTTTTATAAATTAATGTGGTTACACGCCATGACTTTCAAGTAGACAATGGGTCCTATTACTTCCTGGTTTCGTTAGCTCACTGGAACTAAACTCAAGAGGCAGCAGTTGCTCAAAGCACCTGCTTAGCAAAGACTTCTCAATGAGCTGCACTGGAAAGTCTGTGATTGGACAACCTCAGAAAGATTTGATTTTTCATTTATTTATTTTTTGGATTCTGGAGTGTCCCACTCCATTGTCCCCTCATAAAAAAAATAAAAAATCACTATTCAGTAGATAGATATAATACTTGTCTTGTCTGCAGCTTTCTGTGACTATTCAATCGCAGACTTCCCAATGCAGCTGCCAATTGCTGCCTCTTGAGTTATTGAGTTTAGTTCCACAGAGCTTAAAAAAACAGGAAGTAACAGGACGGATTGTCTGATTGACAGCTGGGTGATGTAATAAGGTTAATTTATAAAAGTGACCATTTCTATTGGAATCTTCACCTTTTGTAAAATGAAACAAAGAGGACACAAGTAAAGCAATTTAGCAATTTAGCTTTTCCTTTAAGGATCACTAAATGCCTAAACCATTATCTAAATGTGGGCTGTGAAGACCCTCTACTGACTAAATATTCTGCTTATTTACCACCAGCATCTCTGAAAAAAGTGCTGCTACAAAATCTCTGGGACCACATTATAATAATGACATAGAACACAGCTGATCCTTAAGAAATAGTTCAACAAAGACATCAGTTTATAAATTAAATACATTAACTTCATGAAAGGTAAAAGAACTAACATAAATAAAGTAGAAAAAGCCCTGCAATTTGCATCCCTTCTATAGGCCTGGGACCATTCTATTTTGAGAATTGCCCTGGCAAACACAATCTACCAATATTAATTAATAATACAAAAGCCAATAGACAAAACAACAGAAAAATACAATATACAAGTCTAGCCCATCATAAAATGTTTGCGATATAAATCAAAGTCACTGAAGAACACGCTCAAATTATCATTGGATGTAGCACATTTATGCATCATCCGTGTAGATTAGCATTTTGTGATCCTCTCTTAGTTTCAGGGGGAGGTACAGACTTCATTGTGTGATTTTTAACACTTTTTTTGTGCAGTTATGCACATGCACTGCAATTGCTTGTTGACCCATTTTAACCTTCTTTCAGCGTCATCTTTAAAGTGTAACTGTCCTTGACAATGGCATAGAACTTCCCATTGTGTGTTCCTTCTTGGCAATCTATAACATGGAGTTAAATGCCGTTCACATGGGGGTGTTGGCTGTAGGAAGGAAACAAAGTGGCCTGTTGTTTTTGAGTGACTTTCCAAGAGTTTCCCTTTTGATTCACAGAATGATACACTTCTATAGACGATGACAGGCATTTTGACAGGTGCAATATGCTTTGAACTGTCTTGCCACACAGCTCTTTTGTGTTGCATTTTCCCAGCAGAGTGGCACATCACGTCCTGCACATTGTTTAGTTTTTATTTGGTTGGGCACAGTCCTCTCTCATTCTCACCATTTTTAATCGTTCTCATGTTTTTATACTCCCCTTCCTCATAGAAATTAATAACAGTTTATTTTACTTTTTTTGGTATATTTGCAGATAAATATTTTTTTTTAAAAGTGGTATACTGAAAGCACGGTAGAAAAAGATCATTATTTTCGACCCTGTTTTACATCCTTTTCGTGCTATTTAAATTTATTGACCGGGCGCTATCAACTGTAAAATACAGCATGTATCCCAGATGAACTATGTGTTTAACATAAATATATTTATTTAAAGTACTAGGTAAATTCTTGTAAAGATATTTATTTAAAAAATAGCTATAAGATGTACTATGCAGTTACTGTAAACATTATAATGCATTAGGAGATTATAGCAGAACATACCATGAACTTGAACTTTTTCCTGTTTAAATCTGTTTAAAGTAAGTTTACTTAGGAACATAAAATAAGTTTACCTTAATCAATAGTGTTTAAAACCGTAGCCACATTTCATATATCATATGCTTTTGGGCTTAATAACCTCATCATCTAAGAATGTTTACAAGTATTTATGTCTTAGTCCCTCTTGACTGCTGATTTAGAGCGTTTTAGAATCTTTCTTAGTTGTTTTGTAGAAAGTAAAAGACTTGAGAGTGGGTAGGACTTTGAAGACCTTCAAGAATCGGGAGTGGGGTTAATTATAAGCTGTGCTATCAATTTTTGAAAAATGTTTGTCAGAATGACAATATGCATTATTGAAACAGTCGAGCTGTTAAAATGTTATCACAAGAGACTGCTTGTATGCTTTGTTGATGAATGAAAATTGGTGTCCCCAAATGTTATGGGGTTTTTAGGATTTTACATCTTTAAACTTTAGATACTATTCTTTGTCATTCAGTATTCCATCAATTATTTGAAATAAACCCAGTTTTATCTCCAAATGTCTATAAGGTTGTAAAACTAAGTTATATTTTATTTTATAGCTTTCTCGGAGCCCTACAGTGGTGACAGGAAATCCCAAATATCTGTATTCAGCAGTAATTCCCAGGATGCATTTGATGAAATTGAACTGATTGCTCCACACACTGGTTCTTCAGAATCTATAGAATATCTGGACAATAGCTCTGACAAAGAATTTCTATTATCGGACTCATCAGGTAAGGACTGCGTATGTTCATTCTTACCGAGAGAAGATTTAAAATAATATTAATAATAATAATACCGATTGTATATAAGCTAATTATATTTAATAATCTGTGATGTGGAGGAGACTAACATTTCCTTGGACCATGTTTTAACTATAAATAACAATATATATAACTTACAACAAGTTTATGTGTGAACTATAAAGTGCAAAAAGTATTATTTTTTTTGCCATGCTGCCATGAGAGAAGGACAGGCCCTTGTCTTCGAGACATATATTTAAAAGCAAATACCAAAAAGCAAATGTCAAAACGGAAAGGCACTCCTAAATAGGTGTAGTATTATTATTTATTTATTAATGAGACACTATTAATGGGAAATTCCTTGCTTTGCACAGCAAAAAATGCAGGACTGACGCTCAATGTCTCCACACTCAGCAAAGAGATGCATTGACTCAATGTTGATTGGCGCAGAGTGGCAATTTCCTGAGCACAAGCAATTATCTCCCAATGCTTCCCTGTGGGGAACCATTCAATTGGCTGAGATCATCAGGTTTGATGATCTCAGCTTAGGAGACCGGCACGCCAGGGGAATAAGGTAAGAAAAACTGCTTTTTTTTTTTAATATACTCAGGCAGGAGCCAAACATCTAAATAGTTACCAGATCACTACACTGATCAGCTACAACATTAAAACCACCTGCCTAATATCGTGTAGGTCTCCCTTGTGCTGCCATAGCATCTCTGATACCTCGAGACGTACTCCAGAAGACCTCTGAACATGTTTTGTGAAACCAAGTCAGAGCATTGCCTACGTCATGTCCAACCTCAAGTTTTAGTCCACATATAGATAAGATGTCTAGGTCATAAAATTAGACCGATTAAGATGTTTCCATGTGAAATTTCTAAGTCAAGGCTATGCTATTTAATGGTCAAGCTAAGTTAGATTAGGTTTGTTTTTCTATTTTCATAACATGACTTTGTTGAAAATCTAAGATATAAATATGTGTACTTGGTAAAATCAGAGACAGAGGAGATAATCTTGGATGCAGACACGCTGCTCCATTTTGTCAAGACTAAGAGGTTGACTTGTTCAAGAAGGTATTTTATTCTATGTCACTGATATTGCAAGAATATACTTTAATCTTATAAACTCTGCTGTAAATTCTTTTAATGGAGTAAGTTATTATTTGTCTGTATTTATATTTTTATTTAATAAAATAAGTTAAAATACAAAACCTGACTGCTTCCGAAACAATCCCAATTTTATATTGTATTATCAATTATTTATATATCTTAAATAGAGGAACTCTTACTAATTATATAATATTATAGGTAAAATATCTGTTAGGTTAGCCCTGCTAAGTTCTATACTTTAAGACATTATAGTGGTAAATAGGGGAACTGGCTGTGGTTTACCGAATGGTGACGGGGAAGGAAAAGAAAGCAGAGATATGACATGTTTCATACTTTCAGACACTTCATCCTAGACACATTCTTCCTCTTGTAAACATGTTGTTTTTGTATTGATCTTTGATTTACATTTTTAGGATTTGCCATTTGTTTTTACATTGAAAAATACATTGTTAGCGTGCTAGGGTGCAAAATTCCACAATGAACTTCAATTCTAAAAATATTATCTAAAACAAGAGTAGTTCATGTGAAATCACAGAGAAATGGTCTTTGTTCTATAACATAGTTTAGAGACTGGTACAAGCTGAGATCTCTGATCACATGATATTTAAATATGTGGGGACAAGATATTCCCTATAGAAAGGCTTGATATCACGTCATTCCTATAAAAGCAGAGGCATTTCACAAAAGAAGTTGCCTTTGTAGGAATGTAGTGTTCTGTGCAGTGCAACAAGTGCTGTTCTATAATGGAATTCCCATTGATGACTCTTGATGCCTCCAGCCTGCTCCAGAAAGTGTCTTTGTAAAAGTTTAGTGTTGCTCTATGCTGTACAACGTATGCTGCAAGACAATTGCAGACCTTACAGTCTGCTACAGTTCCTGTTAGTATCTGCCACATCTGAGTTTTATCTGGTCTCCATTCTATTTCAGATCCTGTACTTCTGCTCCTCTTTTTTGACAAGCTATGCTCCTGGCGCGTGGTGGTCTCTCTTTCTGGAGACCCTACGCAGCTAGTAATGCACTCGGTATGTTGGAATGCAGCCATGCATGCATGGTGCATGGCAGGGCCGGACTGGGAAAAAAAATTAGGCCCTGGCATTTTTCAATCAGAGAGGCCCCCTAGGAAGGGGGTGGGGACAGAGAGGGGGTGTTTTGTCATAACTAATGAGCATGTTGGTTCAATGCTCAGAGCCCCGCTGAAGAGCTCTAGCATTAGAAAAAGGCCCTGTATTTGTTCTGTGCAGCGCAAGCAAATTTAATAACATGCTTGAGCTGTGTTTGCTTTTAAATTGTCTCTGGTGTCTCCACAAGTGGGCCAGGAAAGTGTATGGTGCCTGTGTTTGGAGCCTGCTTGTGGGATTGCGTGTGTGTAGAATGTGGTGTGGTATTGTGTATAGGTCAATTTAATTTGTGTTTGTGGTGTAATATGTGTGGCTAGGGGCTGTAGAGAGTGTGTGTACAGGGGCAAAGTGTTATAAGGGATGTAGCGAGTGTGTGCATACGGGCTGTAGTGTGTGTGTATAGGTGAAGTAGTGTGTGTAGAGGTTGTAGAGAGGACGTGTTTAGAGAATGTTGTATGTGTTTACTTACAAGGAATGTAGTTTGTGTGTAGGAGATCTATTGTGTAAAGGACCCAGAGTGTGTATAGAAGATTGTGTGTGTGTGTGTGTGTGTAGAGGATTAAGAGTGCATTTAGGGTAAGGCATCTGGTGTGTATCTGGAGCGTAATGTGTGTAGTGGTGCAGTGTGAGGGGTGTGTGTGTGTGTATATATATATAGATATATATATATATATATATATATATAGACGTAATGTATGTATGAGGTGCGCAGTGTGTGTGTGTGTGTGAGGGTGTTTTTATCTGCCGTCACATTCTAGGTTTCTAATTTTCTTTGTCTGTTAACTCACTGAGGGTTATTATATATATATATGTGTGTGTGTGCTGTATATGTGTGGGAGTGTGCTGTGTGAGCGAGGGTGCTGTCTGTCTGAGGGAGCTCTGTGTGTCTGAGGGTGTTGTGTGCGTCTGAGGGTGCTGTGTATGTGTGTGTGTCTGGGGTTGCTGTGTGTGTGAATTTATTTTAATATATTTTTTATTAATAAAAAAAAAAGTTATACCCCCCCCTCCCTTCTTACCTTTAGCCTGGGAGGGGGTGGGAAGCTGGGTTTCCATGGGGGGGTGCCGTGGTGCCATGGAGGGTGCTGCCTTCCCTGGTGGTCCAGTGGTGAGAGTGAACTCTAGCCTGCAGGCTAGAGTTAACTCACGTGAGATCTGAGCATTGCCGTGGTAACCGTGACAATGCTCAGACCTCGCGAGATGACCCGGCGGAGATGCTAGCTAGAGCTCCGCCGGTCCTCTCCTCACTCCCTCCCCAGCCAGCGGCCGCATCTCAGTGCCTCTGGGCCGGTGAGGGAGATCTTTGATCCCCACCGGCCCATGGAGGCACACAGCAGGGCCGGGGCTCAGGTAGCGCTGGCCCTGCAGGAGCTGGCAGGGGAGATCCTGTGATCACATATAGTTTTTGACAGACACATATATAAACTCACTGACAAACACACATACACACTCACTGACAAACACATACACACTCTTCCTGACAAACACAAAAACACTCTTTGACAGGCACACATACAAACTCACTTACAAACATATACACTCTGAGGATAATTCTCCATGTTGAAGTACAGGAACGGATAAAGCAGGAGAATCGTTGTGGGTAAGCCAGAGGTCAGAGAGTGCCAAAAACCAGGATATATGGAGTAACAAGCCAAGGTCAACAGGAATCAACAGGAGCGCACTGGAACACAAACAGCAATACGGAACCAGAGTCAAGGAACTGACACTGCCTTCTGGGAGAGGCAGTGTTTTATACCTGGCTAAAGAGACCATCATCTTCAGGTGTACCAAGAGTGACAGGAGTAATTCCAATGCATGTCCAGCCCCCAGTGCTGGATACAAGACGGAGCTAGATACTGGCATTACTAAAGCTGAATGGTGGCTCAAAGGTAACATAGCAGCCCCAGGACTGGGGCAGTCACTTCCTCCCAGCGTCTGGCATCATCAGAGGGGGCCTGGTCGCGCTGTTAAAGAGAAGCACTAAATTAGATGAAAATTCAAGGAGATGAGGCCTGCACTATGATGTCACCAGAGGAGGAGAAGGCAGCAACACTGAGTTAGTCTTGGTGTTTAAAAAAAAAAAAAAATGAAAACAAACCTTTTCTACCTTTTAAAAATGTTTTAATTAGGGGCATCTGAATTTAAAGCAGGGAGGAGAACACTACAGCTTTAGGAATACATATTTGTATTTCTAATACTATAGTTTCCCTTTAAATGTGTAAATACATACTTACCTCTATACTGACAATGGACGTCTTAATCTTGTCTCTCTGTCAGCCATTGTTTTCAGCTCTGCCATATTCTGTCATCGAACACGGCATGTAGACATAAAGAATACTAATTTCTGTTCATCTCCCGTTAATGCAATGTGTGCCCTGGCTGATTGAACAGGATTGCTCTTTAATGAACATGTAAAATAAAAAGGAGCATGATATGAAAAAGGTCAACAAATGTTCTAGATAATTTTCAATGTTATATTCAATATTGTAATTTCAAGAAAAGTGATATTTCTCCTTTAACACATTTAAACTGATTTTGGTTTACCACGCCATTGAAGATGCAGATGAGATATTGGATATGCTTGACTTCCATACCCTAACCTGAGGCCAGCTAAGATGACAGCTGGAAAATTCAGTAATTACATGGATTTCATGAGATTTTTAGAAAATTTCCACAAACTGTGAATTTCTACATATTTACCGTTCATACATCACCCATGACTTACTTAATGAACTAAGACTTGCTATCCTTGGATGAGATTCATCAGTGCACATCCGTATCTTATTTCACTCTTAAGTAGTGCGCTCTGATAAACGTGCCTACTGTAATTTCTACGAACACTCTGCTTTAAGAATGATCATTTTCAAAAGACTGGCCAGGTTTAAAATAGCATTATTTCCTAAAAAGGTCAAATATGTATAAATTAGTGATTCATAAATGGACACTCCAAGCACCATAACCACTACAGACCACTAGATTATGGCAGTGGTTATGGTGCCACAAATGTCAATGTGCACTCCCAGAGTAACTTGTAGAACCATTTCAATACAGTTTGACGACTTACCTGGATCCCCCCCCCGGATGCCTATTTTGCACCTGGCTCTCCTGCAATGAGCTAACCACAGCCGACACAGGACCTTGTTCATTGGTTAAGATTGTTCAGCTGACAAACTCAGCATGTGAGCATAGCCCTGCATGGCTTTGATTAGCTCAGTGGAGATAACTGGATTTTCCTGGATGGAAAACCTGAAAGCAGGGGCTGTACCGTGGTCGTCCAGTGGGACCCAGGCAGGTTTTACAAACAGTTTTGTGGTTCTGGTTAAAGGGACAGTCCAATGCCCAAATAGAAAAAAAAATCACTGTTTAACAGATATACTTCCAATGAAACCATGCATAAATCCATATAGATCTAAAGCAGCAAACCTCTTGCCTGAAGCCATTTCTTCCCCAGCCCAGAGTTTCTGTGAGTGTCCAATCACAGACTTCCCATGTGCATTGAACATATGCCTGCTTCTTGAGTTTAGCTCCACTGAGCTAAACAAACCAGTAAGTTACAGGGCCGGTTGTCTGATTGACAGCCAGGGGGATGTAACAAGGTTATTTTATAAAAAGGTCAATTTCTATTAAAATCTGTACTTTTTGCAAAATTTTAAAAAAGGACACAATCTTCACAGATTAAGCACCACTGCTAGCAAAAGTGCTTTTGGGGTCTGGAGGGTCCCTTAAATGTGCTGGAAATATTCCTTGCTTTTTTTCTGGTATCACAGTGTACTGTAACCACGCATTTCATAATTAAAGATCAATGGTTGTCATCCACAAAAATAAACTTCTGTGACCAGTGGATATTATTTATTGTCAGTAGTTTTTTGTTATTTTTGTTTAGTTGCAAAATATATGATAAATTCATGTTTTGCTTCCGGACAGATAAAGCCATTTGCCGACATGAGATCACAGACTTTGGATGCTGCAGCAATGATGAAGGAATACTTGCTGATATACGGCTGTCCCTTCTAGATCATGAAAATTGGGGAAATGAGAATCATATTTTCGAAGCAAATATCGAGAGCAGTTCTTCAGTGAGAGAAGGTATAATTTAAAAATAATTCAAAGTGTTTTCTACACAAGGTAATATCTCATAAAATCATTCACAACAAAGCCTGAGCATGTCCCTTAATTGTCAACTCCACTAAAACTGCTCTGGAGAAGCTCGGTACACTTTTTCTCCAGATATTTATCCTATGGGAGTATGCAATGAAAATTCATTTTCTAATTCAGAAAAGCCCTCTTTTTAAACTGAAACGTTAACAGGTAGATCGAGCCGCTGCAATTTTCCAAGCAGCAACCCATCCAGCTGTAAAATTTGGTTCCCTAATAACGAAATGCCTAATAAAATAGCACATCTCAAAACCTCCATTAACCATACATCATAAGGAGGAGCACAGACAGGTGGATGGAGTCCAGGGGACCCCATATATATGCGAGTAGAATCTGGCTCTTGTTCTTTACCTGGTAAAATACTAGTTTTTAACAGAGCTGCGCAGAGGGTGGAGAGTATTAAAGAGGAGGTCCTGGCAATTGTTTACCCCATTACTCCCCAGCTGTGCCAAAAGGCTAAGGGATTAGTGAATAACTAGGTGGGCCTCCAGTCCCTATGGCACATTTCTAAAAAATAACCCTGCTTCCCTCCATAAGCCCCTACTTATATGTGGACAAAGGGCTGGTTAAGGATCATGGAGGATAGAAATCTACAAATGCGTGGGAACCATGTTTTGCTGCTACCTCGCATTAAAAAGAAGAAAAAAAAAGTTAAATTATCTTGAGAACTTGAGCTTGTTTCCTTTGGGAAAAAGAGGTTGTGATAACATTACAAAGATTCTCGAAGACAGAATGCTTATTGTAGGGGTCAGTTTTTCTTTTTGCCATTTGTGGCAAAATTGGAAATCAATTTAAATTGAGGTTTTCGCATTAGTTTGTCTCACAGGCAGAAACAGAAACGAGGAAAGGGCTGAACGTGATGGACTTTAATGCTTTCTATTTTTCACATTGTATTACTATGCAATTAGTTGATGCCATCGATATCTTGACGTTTGCCTTTGGGAATGGTCATGGACATTAAAAAGTATAAGCTATGATTGCAATAAATATAATATATGAGTGCTGACGTAATAAAACTCTTAAACGTGTATTTCTTTTTGATGACTGATTTAAAATTATTTTTCTTCACCAAAAGGAGGTTCCACTACTTGGCAAATTCTACAATGTCCACATTTACAATTGCATACAATATAATTTGAGAAGTGGCTAATAGTCAATGGGGCTTGTTTATTTCTAATATTAGGAGCCCTCTAAAAACTATTTTATGCCCGGCCGGCATATTATATTTACTGTGATTTTATTAGGATTCTGCAAGGCAGGTGCTCTGAACAATTTCTGCCTCTTGAGTTTAGCTCCACTGAGCTAAACAAACCAGGAAGTAACATGACCTGTTGTCTGATTGACAGCCAGGGGGATGTAACAAGGTTAATTTATAAAAGTCCCAATTTGTAGTTGATTCTATAGGCTTTAGCTGCTGATTTATAACATTGATTTTATCTTACTAAAAGAAACGATGCAAAATATAAATATGTACAGCCAACCCAATATCTGAATCCAGCCAGAGCTTATAATACTAATGGTAGCTTGCTGTAACTGACCAATGAGATTGCTGGATTTAACCACTTTAACTATGTATTTGACACAAGGATAACACTTCAAGTCCAAGATCAAAAAAGCCACAGTTCAATTATATCCATCCATTGAAACACTCTTTGCATAAACATCTCAAAACCTCAATGTGGGTAAAAAAAAAAAAAAAAAGCTAAATAAACATCCTAATAAATCATCTGAACCCATTTTCCTTCTTTTTCAATTTTAATTTGCAGACCTCCTAACTTCACACATGGGCCCATAATGAAGTCTTTATTTTCATTATCTACAGCTACTTTAACTTGCTCATCTGTAGAACAAACATATTCATTCTTTGTACAAATCTGAACTTCCATTCATTAACTTTATTACTAGCAATCTGAAATGGTTCAGTCTACATTGGTCTTATTATATAATGCTGTCCATTTATTTTTTTATTTTTTTATAGCTTGCTTTAAAGGGTCTTTCATTTCTATATTATTATCCATTAACCTTTAGGCTGAACTAAGTTGATACAACAAACGCAACTAAATAGCTATTTGTCATCTTTCTTGGCAGGACTATTGCTTCCTCCTGCACCTGCGGTCCTCAACGAGGCCAATACATCAGATATTTCTTCAAATGCGACTCTAGATGTTCTGGAGAATATAAACACAATAGTAAGTTCTGCACAATACTTTTTTTTATTTCTTTTTGCTTTGTTAAGCACTTAGCTTTATGATTTATGATTCCCATTAGTAGTGTTGATTTCGCTAAATTGTCATAATGGAGAGCTGAATAAAATACATACGGCATTATTCTATTCCTCAACTGCTTAGTCAAAAGCTTTGACGTCCAAGAAAAACGTCTTCGTTTAAAGATCCTATTCACTGGCCTCTGATATATTTATATGCAATAAAAATGAACCACTGTCTGCATTCATCTACGATGCAGATAAATAGACGGTCTTTGGCGTAGATGTGAGTAGATAGATCTCAATGGCTAGTGTCTTCCATCTGCAGTCAGGCACTGAAAAGATGTGTAATAAATTTCAGTTCTTTGTTAATATGCCACTGCAGCAGATACATCTCAAATAAATGGTTGTCTAAACTCATTATGGGAAATCAAGTCATGTTATTCAGTGCTAGTAGGAAAAGCGAGTAAAAAAAAATCCTGGACATTTTTGTAAACTGTCCACTACAAAAAAAATAAAAAAAAATTTTTATTCCTCCGGGCAAAATTAGCAGCTGTAATCAGTGTGTGTGCATGTATTATTATTATTGATACGATTTATATAGCACCAACTTATTGCGCAGCACTTCACAGTAATATGTATGTATGCATCCATGAACATGTTTGTGTGTGTACATGTGTATGAACATATGTATATATGTAGTTAAGTGTGTGTGTGTGTGTGTTTTTTTTTATATGTATAGGTATGTAAATCTGTGTGCATATGTTTTTTTTTTTATAAACAAGGGTATAATCAATACTGTTGACCCAAAGTATTTAGCAATAAGTATTAAAAGAAAGCCTCGGAGCACAACATACATGTTTTATCAATCATTTAATCTTTACTACAAATCATCAATCAGGTGAGTTAAAGAACAAAATATATATGTGTCTGTAATATTAGTAGCATGTCTTTTGAGTTTTCAAATCAAGTCTAGCGGACAGCTCAAAATCTGACAGTTTGCTATTCATGCATAATATCTGAGCGTTTTACCAATTTAGGCCACAATTTAATATTTTGGATTAGCTGTTCAGTTGAGCTCTGACTTAATTTAATTAATTTGAATCAGTCAGAATTTGTTCCACACTGTTAGAACACTTTTTTTTAAATGCTTCAGCCACAGAAGTCACCGTTAAAGTCTATGAGAATGTTTATAGATTAATTATTAAAAGTTTTTCGAATAGGTTGTGATCATTTTCCCAAAAAAATATTAAATTGAGACTTTATTCAACAGACCTGTAGTTCTACAAAAAGTGCATTATTAAACATTTTACCTAAATAAACTCAAATGTGATTAATAAAAAATATCTAATAATACAATGTACTTTATAACAATACAACACATCATGAGAAATATGTCATTTACATAAAAGTGTTGTGTTTGGATAGCAATTATTTTATATATAATACATTTCTTATTTGATTGATATTGATATCCATTAACCAATTTTAGATTATATTTAGAAACATAAAATTAACATACATTTGAATTTAAGAAAATATTGTTAATAAGCACCTAGTGTAATGGATAATTTACATTGATCACTATTCAGTAACACACTTATTAATATATTGTTAATCTTAAAATGCAGGTTGGATTATAAATGTAAATTTGTGAAGATTATGGATATTGATTATATAATTTGTTTATGATTACCGTAATACCATCCTTTCAATTTGTCCTAAATCAGTGGATGCGACCTTTTAAACTTTTAACTGTGATTCTTGCCAAACCCCAATGCAATCAGGTCAACACATGCTGTTTTTTGGAAGAATTCTACAGATTTTCTTGCAAGTTTAGCAAGACTATATAATGGGTAGTGTGGATAATTATTAACTGTTTTTTCTGAAGGAGCCTCTGCAGGGACAGGAGTAGAAAGAACTAGGGGTTACCAGATGGCTGTAGTTTATAAGAGACCAATAAGTGTGATTTTATTAACTGCTAGTCTATTGGATTATAGTATGGAGCTAGATTGAAACAGGCCTCCGGGGCTATATAGGTTTATCATTGTTGAATTTCAGGATTGGTGACATTTGGATAACTAGAGCTGATGGGAATTGTGGTTTAGTACTGATGGAGTGTTCAGAATTTTAACAACTCGCTTTTGTTTATATGATTTAGTATTCTATGCAATTGTTTTTTTTTCTTTATCTTTTACTAATATAAACACTATTCTGAGATATTCTTACGTCGTTCTGTTGTTTGTCTGGTCAAATACAACTTTTTTAAAAGAAGGTTAAATTAAAAAAGAAGTTTACATACCACCAAACTTTAAAAATCTATAGAAAAAAATGAACACTAAAAAACATATATTTCTTTACACATAAAAGCGTGTTTAAGAATAAAATACATTAAGCGGTGCTTAATATGAAAAAATTACTTTAAAAAAATTGAAGACAACTTAAAGAACCCAGTTATAAATACAGAGCTTACTTAGTAGTTATCTTTATTGTGACACTGAAAAATAAAAACAAAAAACAAAAGAAGAGTAGATTCTCTTCCCCATGCCTGAATAGCATTGTAACAAAATATATGGTTTGGGTTTAAAGGTCAAACAAAGAATAGTTTTCTTTACAGAAGATCTGCTTGCTTTGACTTCTCACTCAGACCATTAAAGGGAGACTCTAAGTCCCCAAACAACCAGGACCTGATTTCCTATTAGGCAGAGTAGGTACCTGCCTACAGGTGCCTGACCATTAGGGGGCGCTTGTTTTCAGCACTTACAATGTGCCTTTTTTACCTTTACTAGGCTGAAGTGGGGAAAGATAAGTACCAGAAGCCTAGATCAGTGTCTTCTGTAGTCCAGTCAGCCTTAACAGCAGACCTACAGGAACAGGTTTAGAGGGTGTAAAGTCCGAGCTCTGCCAGTGTCTGTGTGCGAGGCTGAACAGGAAGTGGAAGGGATCACCTCCTTTTTGCCCACTAACAGTCTCTCACACAGAAAATGACCTGCTGGAGGAGCAGGGACAGCACTGAGTGATGCACTCTGTATAACTGCTAATGCAGCTCTAATATCATCAAACTGACTGGTATACAGTGGACATAGAAGGGGGAATACTTTTAAGTAACCCTTCAGACTCCAGCACTGAAAGCCTAAACCTGAAAATAAACCCTTTACCTTAACCCTATGTTTAACTCCTTACCAGTACCCCAATATAAATGTAACCAAACTCTAGTCCTAAACTCAATAATATTAAGCAGCCCTTATTAGGGATGTGCATAGGAAAAATATTCTGTTCAGTTTGGCAATCCGAAATTCGTGACTTTGCCACTTCGGAACTTTGGCACTTCGGCACTTTGGTTCGGCACTTCGACACTTTGGAACTTCAGGACTTCGGGTAAATGTAGGATTAGGGTTAGGGTAGGGTTAGGTTAAGAGTAGAGTTGGTTTAGGGGTAGGATTAGGGTAGGGGTAGAGTTGGTTTAGGGTTAGGGGTAGGGTTAGGGTTGGTTTAGGGTTAGGGGTAGGGTTAGGCTAGTGGAAGGGTTAGAGGTAGGGTTAGGGTAGGGTTAGGGTTGGTTTAGGGGTAGGGTTAGGGTTGGTTTAAGGTTAGAGGTAGGGTTAGGGGTAGGGTTAGGAATAGAGGTGGGGTTAGGGACAGTGTTAGGGTAGGGTTAGAGGTAGGGTTAGGGGTAAGGGTAGGGTTAGGGGTAGGGTTAGGGTAGGGTTAGGGTTGGTTTAGGGGTAGGGTTAGGGTAGGGTTAGGGGTAGGGTTAGAGGTAGGGTTAGAGGTAGGGTTAGGGTAAGGGTAGGGTTAGGTTAGGGGTAGGGTTCTGGTAGGGTAACCTACTGCATATCTCCAGTAATTGACAGTGATAAATTATTCCAGAGAACTAGATAGAGAGATCTTGAACCTTTAGTTCCAAAATATTTAAAGACAATACTAAATTAAATAATTTCAAATTAGTGCTGTGCTATGTAGGGCGTACATTTCCTCCAATTTAATATTCTTCTAGTTTTGGTCTCTTATTTACAAGTAATAAGTGTGCTTCTGCATCGTATAGTATTAAAAGTTCATTTTCTAAAGCAAAAATTACACATTTTAAAGTAGAAGGGCAGTAAAAGTGTTTTGTTTCTGTAACTGGAGACACTACTCAGGCCATCACCCACAGCTGATTGCCTAGTATTCTGAGATCATCTGCATTATTTTATTGCCATGGCTTTCTGCAGCAATTTGACAAAGCAGTTTAGGAGTGATAGTATAATATTAGGTAACACCAATCCCAATATAGCAGATTTTATTTTGGATCTGGATGATATGCTGCAATGGCAAGCGTGAAAATGACCATTCACTGTCTAGATCACGTAGGGGCGGCCTATAAATTTTGGATGTGGTGATCTTGCTTACATATACCTCGGAGCCTAGCCTGCTTTCTTGAGATTCTGTCAAAACGCAGGTACCTTGAGCAGTGGCGTACACACAACCCATGTGGCCCGGTGCGGAAAACTGATCCATGGCCCCCCCTCCCCGCACGCTTACTCTGTGCGGGCCAGTGCCGCAACACCTGGCGGCAGCACCTGGTCGCAGGAGCCGCAAGGCTGTGACTCATGCGACCGCAGTACATGCTGTATGTACACCAGTGCATGCAAATACACATACACTTAAAGGACCACTACAGACACCCAGATCATATCAGCTCAATGAAGTGGTCTGGGTGCCAGGTCCCTCTAATTTGAACCCTGCAGCTAAAAACACAGCAGTTTCACAGAAACTGCTATGTTTCACTGAGGGTTAATCCAGCCTCTAGTGGCTGTCTCATTGACAGCAGCTAGAGGAGCTTCCACAATTCTCACTGTGAAAATCCCAGTGAGAAGACGCTGAACGTCCATTGTGTAATGCTTTCCTATGGGCGGTTTGAATGCGCGCACGGCTCTTGCCGCCCATGCGCATTCGGAGCTGAGAGGTGGATCGGGGCGGAGGGATCACCAGCGCCAAGGGAGTTCGGTGCTGGAGAAAGGTAAGTGCTGAAGACACACACACTCTAACACACACGTTTAAAAAAAAAAAAATTAATCCCCCAACCTCCTTACCTTTGGGAGAGCTGAGGGGATTCCCTGGGGTTCAGTGGTGTTGCTGGGTGGCCGGTCACCGGGTTGGCAGGCTGGCGGGCGCGCGAGGGAGCACTCTCCCCTGAGTGCTCCCTGTTCAGCTCCCTCGCGCGCCATGTACTGATGCCGGAGCTGGAATATGACATCATATTTCGGCTCCGGCATCAGTGCGGTGCACGAGGGAGCTGAACAGGGAGCACTCAGGGGAGAGTGCTCCCTCGCACGCCCGCCAGCCCGTCCGCCGGGTGACACCAGGGCCAGCTTTGGGGGGCCCTGAGGTGGCCGGCTCCTGGGCCCCCCAGGAGAAGAGGCTGGCCACACTGGGTACATACCGGGTCGCAGGGCGGCCTGGCCCCCTGGTGGGCCGAGCCCGATCGCAGCCGCGACCCCTGCAACCCCGGTATGTACGCCACTGTCCTTGAGTCATATTTTCTGACACTGACCAGCTCTAACAAACTTTTGGCAACAGATTTAAACCCTAGTTGAGTCTACCACGGGCAGATCCATACCGGAGACTTACTTATTACACATGCTACCCAGTGGAGTTAACAGAAGTAGTAAGTGAATCTCCCCAGCTGTTTGATTGGCAGCTGGGGAGGTGTTTCTATTTTCAGATATAAAAGTGTTAATTTCACAATGAAATTGTCACATTTATACACATACATACACATAAATACATATTGACATACATACATAATGGCATACATACACATACATACTGATATACATACATACATACAGACATACACACACACACACACACACAGATAGATATATACATGCACAGATACATACAGACATACTGACATACACACACACAAACATACATGCATACTGACATACATACTGATAGACATATACATACATACATACATACATACTGACATACACACACAGACATACATGCATACTGACATACATACATACACACATACATACTGACACACACACATACATACTGACACACACACAGACATATATACATACAGACATACATGCATACTGACATACATACACACATACATCCTGACACACACACACACATACATACATACATATATACTGACACACACACAGACATATATACACACTGTAACGGCACCCTCAGCATAAAAGGGTTAAACCGCCGTTTAGGAGATCTTCCCATTCCAGAGATGCAGGCACAGCTACTGTAGAACACCAGACTCCCGAACCGCATGTAAGGGAATGCTCCAATCTCCCGAACTGCATACAATGTAGCACTCCAAACTCCCGAACTGGAACCATACGAATAGCTGCTAGCAGACGAATAGGAAAAGCACCCAAGCGGCTTACACTCCTAGCAATCAGTCTCTATCAGCATACAGTAAATCCCCCCAAAGACGAGACAAGGCTCCGTGTTGAGGGTCAAGCAGTGGTCTGTTTAATGAGGGCTACCTGCCCAGTATTTATGCAGGTCTCCCACCTGGTGGACACTCCCCTAGGGGACCAAATGGGAGACTGTAACAAAGGACAGACAAGTATCCATTTAGGACATACAGTTACAATATATTCCCACAATGCATCCTGGCTTCCTCCCCTCTGCCTGGAGGTAATTGAGAAGTAATTCAATTATCTCCCAGGACAAAGGCAAATCGCCATTATGCACATGGGGATACTAGAATAGGAATTACTATTAAAATACACTATGTGACCAAAAGTTACAATGAATATATACATTTAACATATCCCCAGATAGCTCAGGTCTGAGCGCACATTATTAAGCGAATGGCGCTCAGACCACACGAATACAGTTTAATCGCCATGGAGTCAAAGTGTTCATAAAGTCAGTTCTCATACGAATGAGCTCCACGGGATCCTATCTGGGGTATGGTGTAGTCAGGTACAACTACCAAATACAGGGCCGTTCGTGCACTTCCACCGAACAAGAAGGGAGGTCGGCGGCTTCAGCGGTGTTTGCGCCAAAATGCATCCGTTTTCAGTTCCATGAGTTGGGCGTCGAACACCGCTGTGCGTTCGCGTGTTTAAAATGGCCGAGACCTCGTGTTCGGTATACGAATGGCGGCCACCCAGTATTCGTCAATTAAGCTGCGGTTAACCGCAGCTTCTGGGAGGCTAATTGCCGACACACTCCAGCTCTCAGGAGATCCAGTCATTCGTGTGTTAGTTCGGTAGATTGAATCTACCGAACACCGGGCAGAAAAGCACGAATAAGTCTTTTCCGCAGGAGAAAAGAGGTCTTTTAACATGGGGCCATAATCCAAAGGCAACAGGCGAGCAACCAGGCTTCTCCAATGCAATGTGGCGAGATTGGTCTCGTCACACACACACACCTCATTTATCAGCCACCTTCCTATTCCTTACCTTTAAGTTACAGGAGAGTGGCTGGGGATGATGGGAGCGGATGCCTCAGCTCTCCTCTCCTGTCCTCCGCTCTCCCCCCCGCGCAGAGTAAGCTGGGAGGAAGTGACCGGCCGTCACTTCCTCCCAGCAGCACTTGCGGTGTAGCCGCATTTTTTTTAAAGGGGCCATAAATGCTTGGGCCCCTTGATGGTGGCCCTGGCTGCTGCTATAAATCATTCTGTCTGTTTCTCTCCTCTGTATGTACTGCTCTCACGCAGAAGCTGCCCCTCCTACCTTGTTCCTCTTGCAGACATTGCTCAGGCTGAATTCAATCAGAGGAGTTGCCAAGAGGAGGATTTCCCTAATAACAGGCAGGCAAAGCTGAGACGTCTTATATCTGTGTTGATCAGCATAGGTTTGACACAGACTTAATTAAATTGAGATGAGGGTGAAACAATGGCGGATCCAGGGGGTGGGGCAACTGGGCAATTGCCCCGAGATATAAGTGCAGCATGATGAGAAGGCTTCTGACGGCCCTTCTTCACTGCTGCCCTTCTATCCACACCAGACATTAGACTCCACCCCCTCATAAAAGGTTCTGCACCCTGTTTAAGACCCACCCCTTGCTCTGATCCGTTCCCCGGCAGCTGCTGGAAGGAACCATCTGCACCCACTGAAGGATAATCCCATTTCCACTACCAGTTCTACATTGCACTACCTAGAAATGTATCTGTGTGTAACTGGAGCTAACGAGATGCAACTGATATTGATACAGATTTTAGTTTGGAGTTGCTAATGATAGAGAGAATGAGTCATTTATATTATCATTCTCTGGTCTTCCACTGGAACCAAAGTTTCCCTAAAAATAATTTAACTGAAGAGTGCATGGAACTGAAATTATGTATTGAAGGAGTTTTTAATTTTTTTTACAAAATCATTTTTTTTGCTTTCATTTTGTAAATGTTAAATGCTGATGTAATTCCCCAGAATGCACTGTTAAATTAATGGCAATGACAATTTTTGCTTCAACCTTTTTTCTTTTTCTTACAGGTAAAAAGCCTGGGAAACATGAATATTGGAAGTGAAGAGATGCTTTTGAGTGAGGCTGAAACAAATGTAAATAACATCAAAATGGATTCCTCTAAGCTACCCATTGTTCCAGACCTCCCTTCACCTATGCATTGGAAAGGTAGTGTGTCTTCTGATTTAACCATTCTGTCATAATAACTTGCATATCTGTAAACAAAACTTAACTGAATTTAGCTCATAATAACTCATTCATTCATCTTTTCTTCCTTTTTGGTCCCATATTGTGTTTCACCCTGCAGAGCAGTGTTTTTCAACTTTTTGCATAGAAGTACCCATGCAGTTGCAAAAAAAAAAAAATCCTAAGTACCCTTGTCTCGAGAAAGTAATGTCTATTAATTTAAACTCCAAATGAAACATATAGACACAGATATTTCAGTTAATCCCATATTAGAGAACAAGCCTGATTTAAGGTAGTAGACATGTGCCATTCGTTTCGTTCTGAATGTACATTCTTACGAATTTCCTATTCGGATTTCTGAAAAGTGGCAAAACAAGAGAGAGGGAGGGAAAATTATGTGAATGATGACAGGAATCTTGACCATTTTTGTGCAATGTAATGCTTGCTTACCCAATCCAGTTTCACTATTCCCTGTCCAATGAAATGAGCAATAGACATGTGCAATTTGTTTCATTCTGAATGTACATTCGTACGAATTTCATGCCATTCGCACATTCGGATGCTTACGAATGTCCTATGTGCCGAAGTTCCAAAGTTACTTCCTTGGCAGTTCCGAAGTGCCTAACTGAATGCCATTGTTCTTAATTGCCGAAGCAGACAAATTTTTTTACTTTCTCGAGTTTCTGAACCAAATTCTTTGCCCATGCACATTCCTATAAGGTAGTAATTAATATTTTTTAAATAAATATAACATAATGTGAATATTGTGTATATAAGGAGGAATGCGTGAACTATTAATCTGAAGTACAAAAGTCACAAAATTAAAATATAATACACGCATAATAGTTACACACAGAGGACACTGACACACACACATTTACACACAGATGACACTGACATACACACATACACAAAGGAAACTGACACACACACATTTACACACAGGGCAGTGTAAATAACCCAGCTCCCAGCATAACCTGAGGACGCGCAAGGGAGCAGTGCTGTAAGAGCACAGAGATTTGAGCTCTCTAACTGCCCTGCCTCTATTCTCCCCCAGCCAACGAGCCAGCCAGCTCTTGGCATACGCCCTGCCTGTGGTGCACATCCCCTGTGGTACGTGTACCATGGGTTGAGATACTTGATAATTCTGTCTCTCCACATTCCAGCAGAAGGACTGAAAGTGGTGACCACTTCCTCCCTCAAAACAGTATAACACATTGGAAGTAGATATTTTATTGCTGATTTCTAACAGTCCAAGAAGAGAATAAGTGCATAGAGATTATTATCAGGTTGCTGTAGCACTTGTAAAACCCTATGTAGTTGGTGTAACTGCATCTTCTGTATGTGGACATGATGCTTTATCTTAATTTGCATATGCTCACCCAGAATCCTTGCAGCAGTAACATCACTGCAAATTTGAGATTTCTGTGTGAAAAGCAAGTCTTATGGCATGACTGGTGTGCATATCGGTATTTAGCAATGTATTGACTATATATATATATATATATATATATATATATAAAAAGTTGAACTTCTGCACTCCAACTATACAAAAAGGTATTACCCAGTACCAAGTCACGAGATTACTATAAGTATGAATAAATACTGGCACTCTAGGCTTTCCAAAGATGCTGTTTATTTTCAGTCAATCCAGGTCGGTCAACATTTCAACTCCTGATCGGAGCTTTCATCAGGACACACAAAAAAGTGTCTTGTGTGTCCCGATGAAAGCTCCGATCGGGAGCTGAAACATTGACCGACCTGGATTGACTGAAAATAAACAGCATCTTTGGAAAGCCTAGAGTGCCGGTATTTTTTCCTATATATATATATTACATATCCTGAAGTGCCAACATATAAATTGTCTGAATTGCATTCACCTCCAAACAGCATAGTTTAACACAAATAAAAAAGTATTAAAAATCTATGTTAATTTGATTACACATAGAAAACACTCGTAGTCATATTTACTAAGAATTAAAAAAAAGTTAATATATAGATTTTTCAGTAATTATAGTATTTGTAGTACGGTTTGGATATCACTAAATAACCCGGTTATGCAACAGAGTCAAGGTCCTCTCGAAAGAATGGCAAATATAGTTTAAAGCAAACAAAATTGAGTGATTAGGTAGCTGCATGTGCACATTCCAGCTTTATACCTTTTAGCAAAATTAAAATGATTGCATCATCCTCTTCATTTTAGGCAGCGTCCTAAGTATGAATAAATATAAACCTTTTCCTGCTAAAAATGGAAAAGTATTTGTATTGTTAATATTTGCAGCTTCATAAAGTATGTTAATAGGTGTATTAAATTCAGTAACAAAAAATACAAATCAAACATTGCACACAGTTAAAGTATATCTTTCTTGGTCCAAGATTTATTTCAGTTGGATGACACAATATTATACGCTAATAGCAGAGTAAAACCATATTGTCCCCACGCCAGCCCCATTCATGGGCAGTGGCAGAACCGGAAGCACTGGCCGTCCCAGGCCCGTTAACGGAGTTCGAACTCTATCCAGCAAACTGATAATTCTAGTACCTCATTGTACCCATTGTTGCATGTTTCCACGACAATAAGCACACATAAATTAATAAAACAGCATTATTGGATTCTTCCAACAACTGAGGCTCTTGTAATAAAACAATCTATTGCACTGGTATATGGCCGCAATTACAAACTCATTTAAGAATAAATAAATAAATGAATAACCTATGTATCACCTAGGTAACTATTCTTGAAACAAAAACTCATTCTATTATTAACTGAAACTAAAGCTATATATATTACTTTATTGTGTATAAATAGTTTCTAACTACTTCTCGGCTTTGTCATGTACAGTGCAAGTATACTATTACCAGATAAATTATAACATTATCTGACAACACTGGGTTTGTCAACATAATTTAATTTGAAATAAAAATTGTGAAATGGAAAGTGGTTTACTATGGTTGTTTAATAATAATGTTATAATGTATTTAACTTATTCATCCAATTAAGTCGATCAACAAACTCACTATTCTAGAGTAAACTTTAAAATTTCCCATACTAAGATTAGACATATCGAATGCTAAATATTCTGCCTGCACTTTAAGATAAGAGTGACAGGATTAAGCAAATCACACAAAGGGTGCTTTGCTGATAACTTTGTATCCTTCAATAACATCCAAAAAGTCGTGAGTATTCACTTTGTTACACAGAGTTTAGCAAGTCACTGAGAGGCGCTATCAGAGCATTCAATACTGTGGCTGACAATTTCACACTGCTTTACCCTTACTTAAATAAAGAATTGAACTATATAAAATGAGAATAATAGGTATTCTAACACATTTAAATTTGGTTACAAATACAAGTTTGCAAAAGTAGAACACTTCTCCAGTCAATTTAGATTTTTCATTTTATTGATGATAAAAATTAGAATGTAAAAATAAAATCATATTGTCATACCTTAGACAGCAAATTTATTATCTACATATTATGTAATCCACTAGTAAGCGCTATATATTTTTCAAGCCTATATTTGATTTTTATTTAGTTTAATAACAAAACAAATTAGATTATTCACCAAACAGAGAATTGTGAAGTATAGACAAAAAAATATTGAAAAAAAAATAAGCACATTTTTTTCCCCAGGAACTGTCCTTTAGAGAATGTATGCAATGACAAAAAAAAGGGAAAACAAAGAGGACTGATACTGTAGTAAGTTAAAAATTTCTTGATAGAGTAAGGAAAATCAAAAATTGTACACTCACACTTTCAGGGAGCCTAAATACAGCTCCGTCTTGCACATCTGGGCGGAATGCTCCACGCCTATGGATATATTGTTATACACATGGCCGGTGCAAGGATTCTTGGGTGCAAAGGCGAAGATGCATTTTTCTGCCCCTCTCCCACCCCCAAAAAATAACAGCTTCACCTGTGTGCCTGTTAACCTTCCTTTTGTGTTTCTTATCCCCTCTTTTAAATGTCTTACCCCCTTTAGTGTATCTTATCTCCTATTTCTTCCGCATTGTGTGTCTTATACCTCCCTTTTTTATCTCTTACATCCCCCCTTGTGCGTCTCTTATCTCCCCTCTTTTTATGACTCTTACATCCTCACACATTTTGTGTCTTACCTCCTCCAAGCCCCTTTGTGTGACACCTTCTCTCTTAGCCCCTTTGTATTTTTTGCTTTTTCCAGCTCCTTTATGTGTCTGTTTTTCCCCTTTTCAAGCCCCGCTGTGTGTTTCTTTCACATCCACACGGAATATGGCCCGTCTCCCTCTGGGCCCCTAGGCACCCCTGTCCTGCCCCCCATCCCTCAAAGATACAAGGCCAGTGGGGCCCGACTCACCGGGAGCAGCAGGGACGTCTCCAGTGTTGGTTGACTTGGCACTCCCTGGGCTCTCGACCTCTCCTGCCCGCCGCCATCCAACGGGACGCAGCCCGACCTGGGAGATACGGACGTGCAGTCTCCCGCCACGCTCCGGAAACGCCACCTGGCGTAGGCTGCCTGCCAGGGATCTCCGAGGCCGACACCTCTGGCCCAGCTCCTGCGGTGCTGATCAACGGAGTACGTCCTGGCGGTGGGCTCTTCCTTCTCCTCCGGGGGTCAGACGTTGAGGAGGCCTTGTCCCCCGCGAGGACCGGCACTCTGCAACAACTGCAGGAGCACCAGAAGGCCCAGGGGATGCCATCCGCTCCTGTAGCCAGCTGATTCCACGCTCTCTCACCGCAACACGAATACCTGCAAGGAATTCTTCAATAGGATCCATCTGGAGGAGAAAGAAAAAACCTACCCAAACCTGAGAGACAACTAACAGGTAAGTTTAAGTTTAGTTGAGATGGCCACTTCATAAAATGCCCAGTATATATACTCCAATAAAACCCCGCCCCCCCATGTTACTAGCTGTCACTCCATTTTCCCTGGCTCTTATGCCTGCTTCCTGGCTCTGTCAAGGCCCACTGCCAGCTGTGCTGTTCCATGGGCTACATTCTAATT